TAGCATTTACGGAGCTTGCAATAGCCTCCTAAGCTTTTTTTATCCGTGCTTGTAACAGCTGGGCCAAACTTTCCTCGCACTACTTCCTTCCATTTAAGCACCAACTGTGCCAAAAGAACCGTTTCGTTTGTCGTTCCAGTTTGGTTTTCTTTTAGAATCCAATGTCTTGCTATGAGTTTTGCGTTTGACCCATACAGTAATTTATACAACATGTGCATCTATTAGTGGAAATTGATTGGTGGTGTTCTAGGTAGATTTTCGTACAACCAATTAAAGGTATGATCACAGAACGGTATGTTGTATTAAGCTGTACATTAACGGTTTAATGTCACTAATATATTCACCGTGCAGCTCCTCTATTGGTTGAACTCAGTATTTGGGGCGAGATTTTTTTTTACTCTTAAGTCCAAGTGTACGACCATTCTTAAGATCATTCTTAGGAAGTTTTATGCATACCGGCCCTGGTGTAATATTACGTTTGATTTCACGTCAGTTCGACGTCAGATGTCACTGCGTATGCACGTCGACGTCGTACGTTAGTTTTTGGTTTTGACCGAACGCGAGATGGCGAGCCAATTTGAAATTGAAGACACCTGGACACCCCCTACCCCGCCCCGATCTTAAGTCGGCGGTGTGGCAGCATTTTATCTTTCCGGTAATCACAAACGAAAACGGCGAGAAAAGCACAGACAAGACAAAAAACTACGTGCAAACATTGTAAAAGACTGATAACATACACAAATAGCACAAAGAACATGATTCAACATGTCCACCACAGTGAGCTCAGTTCACCACCGCCAGAGCGAATATTATTAAAAGGGCAAACCACGCAAAAAAGCTGCACATGCAAGCCTTAGTTTATTTCGTACTTCTTTATATTATGTGCACCTTCATAATGCATTCATAGAATATTCATAAGCAGCATGCAGGTATACCTTAACATCCTAACATCCCTTAACAGCTTTAATATATGTTAATAACAAACATTATGATTATACAACTATAATGTTTATTATTATATAATGTTTGTTATTTTTGTATATTATAGCTGTTAAGGGAGGTTAGGATGTTAAGGTATACATACATGATGTTTATGAATGATTTCTGAATACTTAATGAATATATTATGAAGGTGTACTGAACGTTTTATGAATGCAATATAAAAGCATTATGTAGGTGCAGTTAATGTAAAGCGTTACCGTTTATTATTTGAAGATTTTTTTTATGTATTTTGATTTATCAGTGTTTTATTCAATTTCAGTTGCACTGTTAAGAAAGAGGACACGTTTTACACAGTTTAGAAAGATAAATAAAGGAATATTTTAAAATAT